GGGAAGAGGACACAAAGAAACATTTTTTATCTTTACATCTGTTGCATATAATATAGTTACACACCACCAACTCTTTTAGAAATAAAATTAAACTTTTATGGTCTTAATAGAAACGTTTAAGTTATGACTTTTAAATCTGGTAAGTAGTGGATACCACCATTTTGGGTTTGATTAATTTTAAATCTTGTGTAGGCTGATATGAGAAAAACTTACCAAATCTTCGAATAAAACTTTCACATACATGGTTTACCTTCATCTCCCTTAGTTATACCTATATCTTTTTTCTTTATTTTTGACATTTTAAATTTTAATTTTGAAGTTGCAAAAATACTAATTTTTAAATTTAAATGAACATTTTTTAAATTTCACTCTTCTTCATATTAAATCACAAATTCTTCCATATTCAGTTTCTTCACTCACAATAAATCATTAGCAAAGCTAAGTCAGCTGTTATAATCTTTAGAAATATTGTTGTGCCTTATTAACAGTCTTTTGAAATATTAAAAAAACTATATCTGTACTATAAAAATGTTAAACAAATAATTTAGCATTAACGACAGCAGACAAAACTAATATGATTATCAAAGCATCAAGGACCAAGGACAAAATAATGTAATAGCAAATACAGTATGTGCTTCATTGCATCTCTGATTCTACTCTACAAAAATATCAACAAACAATTTAATATCATACCAGCTCTTTTAATCAGTTCCATCGTCTATTTCCTTTACATTTTCACACTTACCATTAAGTAAACATAGTAACAGATATTTCATTGATTTTAGAAACAAAAGAACACTGTGTACTGCTTAGTTTTATTATATTTTCCTTGGTTTAATTTAATCAGTGATGTGACAAAACACAAATAATAAACTTATCAAATAAAGTAAATGTGAACTGAAAGCTATGTTAAGATAAAATAAGAGTATTTTAAATCAACGATATTCAATTTAGTTATCGATGATATTCTTTAGTTTAATTTAAGCATAGGTTTAGCAAAACACAATAACTAAATTTACCTAAATATACATATAAAAAAAACAATGTGATGTGAAAGTTATGTTAAGTTAATCTAACACATGTTAAGCAGTTCAAATTTATTTAAAGTAGACTCCAAATTCATATAAAACATCTATACATTGTAATTTTCTTATTGTTTCCATGAAAATATATCAATAACATTATTTTCATAACACTTAAGACACCTTAAAAATCGAAAGTAGAGCCTGAGTTGATGCAGCAATGCTTTTAGAATATTTTTTTATTCCTACAATCATTGACATAGTTTTAGAATTAATAATCCATAAACCTACCTCATAGTTATGGAAAATATTATATTTAATTTCTTTGTATCAGCTGTCTGAAATTGTGAAATTTGCAGTTTATCAGTTCTTCTTGTTTACATTTAAATGTCAAAGCAAATGTAAACAAACATTGTTAGTGTTCTCATCGCAGCCATGGAGACCAATCAATATTTACTTTTAAAATCCTCACCTCAGAACTTTTAAAGCCAAAGGGGCAAAGCCCACGGTCAGTATCGAAGTGTGAATAGTCCTATAATGGTCCTTGGTATGGTAACTATATTTTTGTAAAATTTAAGCCCAGTTGGTTCAGTAGTTTTTGCACCTATTAGTAATACACATACAGACAGACACCATTAGATTTTTATATAATAGTATAGATTATTATAATATGTAATAACATTGAAAATGTGAAAAATATTCTTTTGTAGGTAATGATAGAAAACTACAGGAGAAAATATTGAGGACTATATCAACAGTAGCGATGTAGATTTGTTCAAATGTTAGACACACCTGGTCTAATGTTTACTAATAAATAATATACTACTGGAGAAAATATAACTACTGTAACCGTTGTCTCGGAATTTTGCTTGTAGATTTCTCACCTTACTGAAAAATATGGAATTCTGTTTTTAAGGTGATTCATTTTTATATCGTTTAGAGTGCGCTGGCTTTGACTAAATGTGTCTCTTTTTTAGGGTAGACTTAACGTTTTTTTGCTTGATCGTTTGGTTATCATACCGAGAAACAACATGATGTACAATTATATCGTTTCATTTGGTTATAGTAGTTTTAAATTAAGTTAAATGTTGGAAAAATAGGTATGTAATAACAAAACTCATTAAATATAAATTTGATTGAACTATCCTTAAAATAATAATCAATAGCTATTCCAAAAGGATACTCAATCAGTAATAGATAGTTACTTGGTGGTATAGCGTTATTCGTTGTTTAAGTAGTAATTATATTAATTTATGCATTGGTCGCGTGTTAGCTAGAATTTAGTTTAAATGATTCATACACTTGTCAAAATTAGTAACCTCTTTAACAGATTAGTCTTTGACATCATAACGGCTCAACTTATGGCTAAAATATGATAATATACTATAATATTTTTTACAAAAGTCCTTATCAGCAAACCAAGATAAATTTTAATACTATTTTGCATAAAACATTTTTTACAAGAGTAATAATTCAAAAATATTCCGCTGTGAATTTGTCACAAAAGGTTAAGCTTTCAATATATCATAGCTCGTGTCTCTGAGCCACAAAAAGGCCCAAACGTAATTGTTCAGCAAGATTACACTGATCGAGAACATTTCAATTTCCAGGCTACCACTCGAGCTCGCTTTTAATTGTTTTTATTTCATTACTTCACTTTATCAGATACGAAAATGTATATATTGAAATATAAAAACAGTACGTTACTAGTATTATCATACACGTTGCTCGAGTTAAAAGTAGGTATTTATAGTAACACAGTTATAAAAGTGTAAAAGAGTCAACCTGTTTATTTCAAGCAAATATTGTCGGATTAAAATTAGCATCAAATAGGATTTGGTTTCGTAGAAAATTCTTCGCTCTCCATTAAATATTTGAAATTATCTGAGTGGAAAACGAAAGCGTTTTTAACAGTGTGCTATAAAATTTCCAAACTTACATTAAGCGTTGAATGAATGATATATTGAATGCTTACATCAGGAACGTAATACAGTTTTAAATCTGATAAAGCGAAGGGTTTAGAAAGCATTATATTTTGAATAAAAACATAATTTTATTGAGTTAAAGATAATTAGCTTTCCTTCCATTCAAAGTGTCTAACCTTGAACACGACACCATGAAAATATTAAAATTTATGTATTTGTTTGCCAAAAATATTTTTTATAACAGTTTCAAAATTATGAAATTTATGACTTTAATAAGTGAGCATTTTTTAAGTAATACAATTTTAATAGCTACCTACTTATTTTAACAATTATTATTAAAAAACCAGAAAGTCTAATGACAACATTTAATAAAAAATGTATATATTGTCAGGGAAAGATTTCATTCAACATTAGGTAAAACTTTATTATTTACATCTCTGTTTGAATAAAACTGATATTCAGGGAAAAAACACTGCAAGAAACTGATACGTTGGTTGTGGTTATAGATGTAATTGAATATATTTCTTGAATGGCAAAAGGCAGCTGCGATCTCCTTTCGCAAGATCAAAGGCATTCAAGAAGCCTTTCAATATTCCTATTCCAAAGGCAACCAAATGGAAGAGTTTAATACCGTATTCCAATACCACCTCACACCGTGTTTGGTTGGGGAAAATATGAATACACTTGGTAATGTAAATACGGATCTTCATTTTTCATACAGTTTGTACAGTTTGTAACAGATCTCTTCAAAGGGTAATTTATCTTATCATTTTCATATTACATGATCAGTTTTTTAACTATCGTATGCAAAAAAAAAAACTGTTTGTTTTTTCTTCTGTAAAATAGTTATTGGTATATTTTTATAAGACAACTATAATGATAATTGGACAAAATTACGTAACTAATAAAAATATAATGTTCAAACACTTATATATAACTAAATAAACAAAGTTGTGCAAATAAATACCTTAAGTCGTCAAATAAACATTCTTTCTAATTTTAAAGGTTTATTTTTATACTCCTTGAAAACAAAACTAACGACGAAATGTCCATAAAGGTAAACATAATTTATTTTATCACATTTTTCTCATCATCAACATTAATTTGGCAGTGAATTCATGTTTTGAACCAATCACATGAACAAAAGAGGTAATTAGAACATTCAGCGAGGTTTCACCAGCCTGGTAAACAATCATTAATTACTAGCAGTCAACTCTTTCATATTACGCAGTTGTGAAACTATAAGCGTAAAAGTAACACATTTATTGTCACTCTGCGACCTTTTGTAAATGTGTTACTGTAAATATTTGTTTTTATTATTAATCTGGTAAGTAGGTAACAACAAGTAATAACGACGAAGCTTTTTTTATATATTTCCTTATTAAGTTAACAGTTTTTAAGAAACTATTACCAAAAACTAAAAGGTTTGTAAACAAAAAAATTTTTCTTCATAACAACAATTGGAGCAATCAATAATTTGTTTGTTTAGAATTTGATATGTCATTTATACAATGCAACTTCGTTTAACTTATTAATTACAGTTGAACTAATGTATTCTACAATTGGATGCTGATCATTCCTAAACAAGTTTCCAAAGTATCCTCAAAACTAACCCAAAACGCAATTTAAAAAACTGTCTGTTTATTATTCTACAGCTAAAGACAGGTTAATATAGGCTGAACTCTATAAATACTTTTAATTTATATTATAAATTCATTAAATTTCTTGAATGGTCATGTTTTTAATTATTGTATTTTTATAGCCAACAAGGGAAGTAATGACCTTTACACTCTGTATACATGTTTTCGCCGTTTTATTTATGTACAAAACTAAAATTCTGTGGAACAAATAACTCGCCTACATAGTAAAAAAGTATATCCAGGGGAAAGACGTTTCAGTTGTTTGCATAATTGTTTACTTAAATTAACTAAGTGATTACATTTAACAATTAAAACTATCTATTTCACGAACATAACTATTTTGACATATCAATAACACGTATTTGTTTACGGTTAGTTCAAACTAATGGCGCATAATATCGAACAGTTTTGAAGATAAGTTTATGGGGATGGGATTCGTCGATTTGTTTTTTCTTATAGAACAAAACTATCACGTATTTAAACTTCCACTAGAAACAGAGTCCAGAGGACTAACAGTTCTTCGGGGGAATGAGAAGCTCTCTAGAGGATCCTCTATCCTCGGAAACTTGGGAGGACGAGGAAGTGAGTTGAACTTCCTTGTACATGCACTCCTGTGTGAAGGCGTCGATCCTGAGGAGGACGAGTCCTGAGCTACTCCAAGAAGTCCTTGGTGAAGGATGTTGGAGTACCTGATAGGAGGATCTGTCAATGGTCTATGAGGAGGTTTATATGGCGTGACACTGGGTGTACATGTGTGTCCAGGTCTACAGGTGTTGTCCTCGCTTGTACCTTTGACCACACAAAAGTCACCGGTGTTGCGGAGTTTTCTCTCACACGGTATGGTGTAGACCTTCCTCATCTGTCGGTCCGCTCCAGGGACGACGGCGCGCACCATGACCTCTCCAGAGGGGAACCTCCCGAGGAAGGCGAAGACCGAGAGCACGCCGGCAGCCTGGGAGAGCACGCAGGAGGCGATTGCGGCGTGGAATGATCTGCCGTAGCGGTGCTGGAACTCCGGGTTCACCATGTCTGAGAGGACGGAGACGTAGACAACTAGACCTCCGGCCAGCACCAGACCTAGGTAACATGGTGTCAAGGTTAGTGATGTAAAGAAGGTTAGGGAAAGGATAGGAATCTAAAGATTGACCTCCGATAAGATTTCTAAACATATATTTATGTATGTTATCGATTTTCAGCATGGTAGCTAAGTGGTAGCATGGTAGTGTTTTCCCAGAAATCTACTTAAGAAGGTCAACCCCAAGAAGATCAACCCTAAGAAGGTCAACCCCAAGACGACCAAACAAGCTTGCGGGTTAGATCCTGAGAAAATTCCTGGATAAATAAATATATCATTTTAGTCAGTAAGAAATCTATCATTCCACCCATTTAACACACATACTTCACTTTTTTTGCAACTCAACATATAAGCAACATGCTAGCGTCGTAGAAATTGCTATTGTTGTTGAAAATTCACTGTTCAAAACTCTGGAAATGTGCAACGTTGTGGACATGATACGTTTGTAATTTGTATCCTTATGTAGTAAAAAGGACCAACTACTAACCTTCAGCACAATTTCAAATTAAAAACCACTAATAACTGTTTATTAAATCAGTTTTATTTTTTGAAACCAATGAAGTTTTGATGGAAAAGGAAACATTGAATATTCAAGTTTTAGTGAATAGCCTCAAAGGAAAATGGCTATTACCACAATCGTCATGGTAAGATTTATAGGATATAGATAGGTGTATAAATCCGGAGCCACATTATCCTGTATTTGTAATTGCAAAAATTAAAAATACATAAACTTCCTACGTTTATAAATACAAATTGTGTATAGATACAATTTCACTCACCTCCTATGATATATAGCCCAGAAGCAAGAAGGGTTCTAAAGTCGTTGTGACAATGGCCTAAAACTGCCATCAGTGTTGCCAACCCCAACATGGCCGCAGCCAGGGCTACCATCGGTGTGGCGTACCTGGGAAAATATAAAATACTAATAAAGATAATAATAATAACATTTACAAGGATAAAACAAGAGACAAATCAGTATAACACAAACAGCATAACTTTTGAGAGGTGATAAATAATATTTTCAATTAAGCACCTCTTAAAAGCTTTACTCGGATTCAACTGAAAAATCAAATCTTAAAATTTGTATCTAGAATCCATTTGACACATCCTATTTCTTAATATTCAATCATGTTTCTTGAAAACCTTTTTTTCTCAGCTCGTATGCATCGAAGGGAAAATCTGCACGTACCATTGGCAAGATATTTTCCTGTAGATGAGCAGAATCCCTTTATAAATTAAAATAAACTCAAAAACAAGCACAACAATTAATTAGGCATAAAAAAAATAAAATGGGCCTTATGACTTGCCATGCTGGTGACGAAATAACAACGGAATATAAACAACAATAAAAAGCTAAAATTTAAAATCAAAACAAATGGAAGAAATTCCAATGATGTGTTTTATTTACACTGTGGGGCGAAAATAGAGATAGTATAACGGCTGTACAATGTACATTACATATTTTTGGTCGAGTTTTCGACCACTGGTTGACCTCTAGTTTTAAAGTTTTTCCAGAAATTATTTTATCAGGCAGAACAGTTTTCACATTTCAATCACGTCTAGTAATTTTTCTAACCTCATTTTCGTAATGAATGTCGGAGTGTATTCCAACGACGACCAGGTTATTCCTAGATCAGCTTCTCTGACTTCCCGCCAACCTGCGTACGTGATCAGCTGACAGCCAGGTATAGGCAGTACTGCCAACATGATAATAAATAATAATTTACCTACACCATAATAAAATACAACATCACAGGTTGAGAGCATATTATAACTAAATAATAGTTACAAGTTTTATTCTAGAACTATTATAAGCTAACTATAAGCTTTAAAATAGTTGCAGTTAATCAAATTATGAAATGATTCGTACTGAAACCTCAACTAAACTGGCTATCTCTCAGGGTATCTTCCATGAACAAAAGCGTAGCTCTTAAAGAAGTCTGAACCTACGAAGGAGTACCGTACATCAAATACACAAGAAATGTATCAACAAATTAGCTCTTTACTAATGTAATCCTTACCCTAACTGATATGCAGAAAAGATTGAATATACCAACTTAAGTGTACTGAAGGCAACCTATTCAGACCATTGTTGAACAGTTTACTCTCCGAGAACGAAAATACAACTTAGCGCAAGGCCTTCAGCGAACACCTCAGCATGCCTGCTAACTTGCAAACACTGACCACTGGTCATGAACCCATTTTGCCTATTTAACCCTTCATTAATCTACTTACGAGTGTTAGAGGAAGTCAGGATCCTTTTCAAAGCAGGGCAAACTCTCCACAGTCCAATTTTAAAGGAGACGAAATGTTTTGTTTTCGATCCAGGAAGAGATAGAGGTTCCCGTGCATATAACCAGCTGTTTGTCATCACTGCACTGATAATGGAGAAGAAAGATAACATCCCTGCTGCTAGTCCTAGCCTGGACACAGGGGTGCCACCACAGCACATCTCAACACACCAGGGGTACCAACTGTGCGCATTATCTGTAAACATACAAATTGTCAGGAATATATAACAGACCAATATCCCTGCTACTAGCTGTAGCCTGGACACAGGGGTGCCAACTGTGCGCATTATCTGTAAATATTCATTTTGTTATGAATATAACATACCAATATCCCTGCTGCTAGTCCTAGCCTGGACACAGGGGTGCCACCACAGCACATATCAACACACCAGGGGGACCCCTTGTGCACATTATCTGTAAACATACATATTGTAAGGAGTGTACAACAGCCTAGCCAAAGTTAAATGAATACATTACATTTATTAAATACATTTTGAGGGTAGCAACTATAATTTATTTCGTTGATTGTTGCATTCAATGATTCCTACCATGAAAAGGTTTAGCTGAGTCGTAATAATAAACAAACACTTCAAGTAAAACAAACCAATCTCCACCTTAGAAAGTGCACAAGAAAGAAATATTGAAACATGGTTAGTTTTTGAATTGAGTTTGTAATGAAATTGAAGGTTTGCGATCGAGTTTGTGTTAAAATAAAACTCAATTATGACGGGCTTGGGAATTTCTCACAAAAGCTTCTACACAAACTTCATATACGTGGATTACCACAGTGAACACACAGGAGCCAAGTTTTGAGCTACTTTGACTTATAAACTTTATAGCATCGGGAGATGAAGATGCGCTAGGGTATTAATTTGCATCGATCTTTATTGAGATGTAGCTTTTGTACAGTTTTGTTCTGTGTGATTTTTTGGAATCGTAATTAATCGTACTTGAACATATCGAGATAAGGAAGTGCAAAAAAGTTATTGTTTTTAATTATTGCACGTTTATGAGCATGGGATGAGGAAACGCATGATTAATGATAGTCTCATAGTACTTTATTAGCATTTTTGTAACATTTTTCTTTCGTCTCGTAGAATTAGATTAAACTTGTTATTGTGTCAAACCACACAACAACGATGTCGTTTTTTCTTTATGGTGTAAACAGTATTTTACAATTTTGTTTTTATAATTAACATCTTACCTGGCACCTCTTCCAGAGCTTCTAAACCATCTACCATTATAGAACTGTTGTGTTATTAAAATACTACTCGGTCATAGCTTTGCTGATAGGTAATAAACTATAACTAATAGTTAAATGTTTTGGGAGCCTAGTGGTGCTCCCCTTCCAGTCTGAGGGTTGCTGGTTCAAATCTAGACGGAGTCGATTCACAAGCTATTTGTCAATAGACCCCAAATTAATTATATACGTTTAAAAATATATATATATCGACATTGGATGGTAACAAGATCAGAGATTAGACCCACCCCTACCTGCCCTTGTAAAAACGTAGAAAATTTAAATGGCATAAAAAACTATAAATCTACTTCATTCATTAGAATAACTTATTATTTATTATTTTGATTAATTTTGAAATTCTTTTGTATCCACTGAGATTTGATGGAATCGTTTTATGGGCAAATAATAAAAATTCTGACATAAAATAAAGAGTTAATAAAGAAAAGAGTCGATGATACACTTAAAACTATTTTAGATTCAAATAAAATTGTTATCATCTAATAACCAATTAAATTATCTTGTTAAATGCAACTTAAATTTAACGAAGGTAATATGTTTTATTGATCAAATATTAATAAATTGTGGTTAGGTACTTCTAATGTGATAATGTTATTTGTTATAAATTCATTTATGTAGTTACTTATTGTTAAACAAATATTAATATCCTGCAACAGCAAATCTTTTAGACAAAGTGAATTCCCATTTGTCTGATTGGATTTTTACTAAATGTTTCCTTAAACAAATCAGATTCACTCTTTATTTAAAAAGGGTAAACAAGACAGGACTTGGGTTTGTTGCTACAGGGAAAGTAATAAGGAGTATTTTCTGTAGAATGTTATTGGATTACGATGGAACAAGTCCAATTTTTATCCAAGTATATTATATAGATATTATTTAAGCCAAATGTTATCACAATAAGAATAACATTATATAATATTGATTACAATAACCTGGGAATAATAATGTTATCAAAACCAAAAAATAGATATAAATTATAATTTACAGTTGTTTTATTTCTCTGTGGTTGTTTGAACAAGAATGATTCAATATACTAAATAATTTTTGTTTTAAGCTCTACTATTGAATTAGTTAAGAAATAAAATTGCAAAATTTTATGTTTTGAGGGTCAAACATGGAGAACCCCTATTTTTACCCTATAAAACACTTTTCCCTAGTTCGATAATGCTTGTTCGTGGCGTTCGAATAAATGTCAGATAGGCATAGACGTTTGGACCAAATTTCATTGAAATCGGATATTTTATATATGTAAAGAGTACTTATTATTACATCTTCCATCTACCAAAAACTCACATAAATTTGAACTATTATTAAAAATTTACTTATTGACTTACTAGCTAAAATGATTTATAACTTTTCGTGTTTCAAATTAGCTCTTCTTTGAAAGCTACATTGTTCGTATATCGTATAAATGATATAATCCTAATTTTTTTATTGTTTTATTTACAACTTTTAATTTCAAAGTGACTAATCAACTGCTTTATAACTTCGTTAATCATTGTTGTCTTAAACAATATTATAGTTAAATTGAAAAAGAGTTCGCCTTTTTCTAATAAACCTTTATTTTTGTAACGAAGATTTTAAGTAATAGTTCTTAGTTAATTTTGTAAAATATATATTTATTTAAAATTACTTGTGAACCGATAATATTTATGGTAATTGATTATTATAGGAAGTAATACAATTTCTATTGTGGCCGTTTTTCTGACGGATTTATGGGTAGTTTATTTGTGGATTTGTCTTGTGTGTACATTGCAGGTTTTATAGGCCTACTAATTTAAACATTTCTATGTAATTGTCGAATTTAAACTAAATATTTTAATGTGCGTTGCTAATATTTGCATCACCAAGTAATATTACTAAAATATAACGGAACAAATTGATTATAATTAATTATACAAAGAATTATATAAACTTACCGTAAGCACAGAATGGTGAACACACAGAACTATTTGTAAGATGTGTACGCTTTGGCGCTCACCGAGCAACTGAAAGTCCAAACTTCAGAACCAAGAATAGCGATTGTCGATTCATCTATCGAGCTCGCAAACAACCGAATAGAAGAATCGTTAAATAATATCGTATTGATTTTGATTGTTTTTAGCTAATTATCATGACCTAAGATTTCAACGAGCGTTTCCAGGAAAAAATCCTTGTATTCGGTTTTTTTCTGCCGTAATTAGGTACAAACTAAGGACCATAATAACGTTTTAGGTAATATAAAACACATTCTGCATAAGGTTTGCGATAAGTACATTCAAAAGTTAAATACATCAAAATGAAGTTTTAAATAAAATATTAACTGGAAGTCATACGCGTTTAAATTTAACAATCGGATTTATAAAATTTCAAATCTATCATAAGAAAGATATTTTTACATATCTTATTTACTATTCTTTCAATTAACGAATGAATCAATTACCAATTATCACCAATCAATTATGTATGGATTACGCGTAAGATTTGTTGTTTTGAGCTCTCTTTTTGTTTAGCTGTGTAAAATATGACAATTTTCCAACTTAAAAAGTGATAATTTTCGGTTTACCCGGTGTTATTTTCCCCTATAAATTATTTGTGTGTTCAGTATACGCTCTACAGTAAAAAAAACCATGCATATATTTACCACCAGTATACCTTGTTACAATTTCAGGATTGAGCTCCAAGTACTTCTGTTATAAACAAACTGTTCACATCGCTCATTTAGTTACAATAAATCTAAATCATCAAGTGGTCAAAATAAATTATTAAAGAAACAAGAAAATTAAATAGGCCTACACGTTATTGCCTAAGCAAAACTTTCCTATTGATATTTAATTACTATAGATAGTAAAATAAAACAAAGCCGAGTGCCATATGGGAGGACATGTACTGCATTCAATTTATTTTTCATCAACGTTTTTCAGCTTTCTCATTTTCTCGTTTCTTCATTTTGCCGTGAAAGCAATGACCAAGTATTAGACTTATGTATATTACACCACGACCGTAACAGGAGAAAGGGAGGGATATGAAAACTTGTATCTTATCTTCCTGAGGATTTTTTTTAACACCAACAATTTGGATCTGTTTTTAGAATTAGTAATGAGTTTTAAATTCAAGTATTTAAACTTGGCTGAGATATACAAAGTTAAGCAGCTTTGGCATTAATCAATCAAAAGGATACAGTAACTCCCTCAAGTTCAGATACCTTTAGATGGGACTCTAGGTTAATAAAATTAAAGTCTGAACCATTATAAGTTCATACAAATATGAATGGACATTTAAAACTCGTATATTATATATAGGCCTGAACTTTATTACCATCTATATAATTAATACGCTACATGAAACTTTGTCGGTTGAACTCCTCCGCCATTTCTTAACCGATTTTATCCATTGACGTCTCATTGGAAAGAGCGTGTCGCGTAGATTTGCAAACTGGCCTTACATTTTTGAAAAAGTCCCTTGGACTCTGCCCCATTGGCTTTGAAAGTTCCCATGTTATCCTTATGGAGAACACAATTGTTTACATTTTGATCAGCTGTATAATTTAATTGCTGTTATTTATTTTTCAATTCAATGAAACGCATTGAGTACATTTATTTACTACAGTATTTGAGTTTGTGTAAACATAACCCCCAAGACGGATCGTGTTAGTATGGTTGTATCTCAAATTTGTGCATTTAACGTTGTTGTGTGTAGCTATAATGTGTTTAATTGTTGTTTTTTTCTTTTAAATGCCTACGACGTGACGACAACTAAACATAGACAGGAGGCGTAATCGTGATAACGACCGTAGCTAACAGAACAGTGGCGCGTAATAGGCTTAACTCATCACAGTCAGCACCTGACCCTGGACAATCTCAACTATTAAGTTATAAATGCGCCCTAACACTACCCCAAAACGACTTTTTGTTCTCAATTGGCCCTCTATCAATTACCTGTGTTGCCTCTCGCCTGTACATCGAGGCATTTTGAGAAGGAGAAAACAGGCCGGAATGCTTTAGGTTTATCAATAACGAAGATAAACATGGTCTGTGTTACACACCGACCGGTAATGTTTGAGTTGACTCTTTTGAACTCATTGTAAATATGACTGTTATTCGTTTTGAAATAACTCCTGTAATACTTTGCAATTGCTCGAATTCGAGCAACGTGTACACTAGTACTAAATAATAGAGTAATTATATGTTAATTTTTTTTGGAATTTCAGATTTTTTAGATGCATTATTATTATAATTAATGAATTTCATGCATTGCATTATTATTTTATTATTATTTTTATTATTTTTATTTTATTAGTTGCTACACACCATAAAGCTTTCTATAGACTTTTCATTAACTTAGGCCTACAAAATTCCTATGGCTATTAAGTTAGCCCACATTGAACTCAAAGTCATTTATTTCTTAATAAAGATAATTCCTAATTTGTATTTTATTTCTGTCTAATAAGGTAAGTCTTTATCTTAATCTTATAATATATAAATTATTTTAAGAATAAATAGATTTGGTAAGTTACAATATAAAATTTATTAATGAAATACAAGATAAGTTAAGTTGGTTGAATTAGCTACAGGGTAAGTTAACAATGGTAAATTTTCAAAATGGTGGGGTTTCCAAAGTGGAAGATATTATTCTAGGCTTATATTGGGTTGGTTTCTTCTGAAGTACTAATTAATATTTAAATAGGCTATGAGCTCTTAATCTCAGGGAGGGGTGGTCGTGCCGGTTCGAATGATATATTAGGCTTCTTTAAAATGTAGATAATTTAATTTAGTTACTATTCTGAAATACTAGGTTCATGATTCTATTAATATAATAATGTTAATGTCCAAAAAAAAAAGATTCCAAATGGTTTCACTGAATTTAATGAAATAAAATATAATTTGAAGATTAAATTTTGAATAAAAGTTCAATTTGAAATATGTATATCTTGATGAGTTAAGTTAATTGGGCCTATTAGGCTATGCTGATTAAATGTCCAATGAAGATTAAATTTGTCCTTAGTTAAATAAGATGGATGATGGTTACCAAATCTGGAGTGTCTGTCTTCTTAAAATTTGGTACTCTTCAAGGCACTTGTACTGAATACTTTTAGATGATTAGAAATTTAAAATTTAGATTAAGTTTATACTTTGGGATAATGAATTTAGTTTAAATCAAACACAATGTCCAATAAAATGATGTTCACACTGTGAAGAGTTGGCAGGATCTGGGGAGAGGCAATGGTAGAAGCTCAGGAAGTCCATGTCCATTGGATTGAATACGTGTATTATCAATAGTCCGATATGGTTACGCTTTATTATGCCTGAAGATTGTTCCAAGATTGTAAACAGAAACTAGTTGTCACAGCAACCATATTCGATTACCACGATCTTTGACTAATAATACAACTAAACATTCCATCCCCATGTTAAATTTTTAGCCAGATTTTTTTTTCAGATCGTCGTAGTTGATGTGAGCCAACTGCAGATGCGCTGATCTAAATTACTATAAACTCTGTCGAATACACAAACCATTTTACCAAGTCAAACTTAAAGAATGACTTATGGTGAGCTGTAGCAGCTGTTATGACCAACGGTTATGACCCATCAACCTGGCCAGCAACCAAAAATCTATATCTATAAAAGAGGAACTATGTATGTATGTATGTATGTGTGTATACAGTATATGTATATATGTTATGGACTCCGAAACCGCTTGACAGATTGTATTGAAACTTTCAGGCATTATTAAGCACCTTTCAAGGATGGTTTGTGTAAAGTTTGGTGCAGATCCGTCAAAAGGGCTCCACCCCAGAGGGTTTTAAGTGGGCCAATGTCAGACTTTTTTTTTACTAGAATGTTTACAAATAAATATGACAGCTGTTACCAGGCAACTGTTTTGTAAGTTTGAATAATCACAACATGCTGTATTAGTTATGATTTGAAATAGTGCCCCAATGTTTCCACAGAGTGCAGCACAAAAAACTATTTTACTTTTGGATAAGTACAAATATATTAAACCCCAATCGCAGCACACCTGTGCACTCAACAACATTTTCTCCAATGTTAAATATTTAAACATAAAAACATTTATAAAAGTATTATAAACAATAAAAGGGATGGGATAAGTGCAGCAACGCGTGCCGGGTAACTGCTAGTAAGGAATAAAATAGAAATTTAGACACTAGTGCATTCTGTGATTGGCTCACACAACTACGTTTTTTTTTATAAAAAATAGTGACAGCTGGTCTATATAGATGGGATGTCTATTTTAGTATTAAATTGTCAATGCTACGATACAGTTGTTAAAACCACTTTATAAAAAAAATATGGATGTACTAAAAAATGTTTTTGGATTAAGTTTTTCTTAAAAATATTGTTCTAGATCAATGCATAGAAAATAAATTTATGATGTTGTTGTTCTCCTCATAGTGTTTGGCGATTTGTATATTACATTGATAATATATTGTGTACATAAAATTGTTATCTATATTATGTATGTATGTATGTCCGTAGGTGCAATAGCTCCAGAAATATTTATCCAATTTTAATAAAATGTTATACAAACATGTAAATCTATCTTTATTCTATCAAGTACATAAACCAGTATGGTTGGATATGGAAACTGGGTTTTATAGGACAAAATATTTTGTTCCTTAAAACGTAATACTGTTCCCCAATAATTGATTTCCAATCAAAAATATAGCAATTGAAAAACAGAATAATGTATAGGCCTAATAAATATTACATTGAACCTGCTGCAGTCCGCTTGATTGATATGGAGACAATTGAAAAAACTGTAAACTTGGAATATACATATTATTTCTATGGAGAATAAATACAAGATTTTAATTTTCTTGTATATATTTTAGGTAGGCCTAAATTGGTAAATGTATTTGCCTTCTCTGTAGCGGCAATACTAAGCAATTATTAAACCTAACGTTAATTTAATAGGAATAAATCTGCCATATTTAATAACATATTTTAGTGAAACACCATTCAGGCTTACA